TTTTGTTTTTTCTCAGCACTATGCTTAGATAGGACTAGTGGGGAGCTTCCGGTCGCAGCACCTCCAAAAAAAGAAGTAAGGCCCGCCATTTTCTGAGTCAACGACCGCATTTCCAGCCTGCCAAATAACCACTATCAAGAACGAGACGGGACCCCGAATTCTCTGTTATCTATGGTCGTATGTATCAGGAAATGACGGAATTTGGGTTATAACAGCATTGGAATACTATCGTTACTGTGTGCGTAGAGGTTGCCGTACTCGTTTCAACAGCAATGATGTCACTCGAGTGAGTCCTTTTAGCCAGGGGAATATAATTTATAGAAATAGTTTCTGAATTTCCTGTATTAATTTAGTAAAGAATGAAATGACAAAACCTATGGTTTCAGATCCCATGCGCCAACTCTTGCCCTTGCCTGTGACCGTCACTATCCTAAATTTCAATCCTCCACTCAAATGACACCAGGATATAATAATACCTCTCTCTTCCGCAGTAGACAATGCCCAAATCTTCCATCCCCAATAATCGGCCGCCCGTATATCATACAAGGTTCTGCTCCAGTGTAAAAAGCTTCGCCCCAGTCTACCAACAACCCGGGATATAATGATATTTGCGGCAAGAAAGCCTAATGTAGTAAGAAAAGCTCACGACAGCGGGAAAAAATAAAAATAAAATAAAAAAACAAAATAAAATAAAAAAACAAAATAAAATAAAAAAACAAAATAAAATAAAAAAACAAAATAAAATAAAAAAAACAAAATAATAAAATAAAAAAACAAAATAAAATAAAAAAACAAAATGGGAGTAAAAGACCGTTGGAAAAATGAAATCGGAAAAAGAGAGAAACCGAGTTGTGTTCGCTTCGTTCTGGCTTTGTTGTACATGAACGTGGCAGTTTATGCCACTGGCGATAAGGAAATGGCTTGAAAGGCTGAAAGATTGTCGAGAATCGAACAGAGAAGAGAAAAAAATAAAGGAAAAAGAAATAAAAGATTGAGTGCGTCGAAAGTGGAAATAATGCATAAAGTATAACTCCCTCAAGGAAATCATGTTGCCCTCTTGCTGTTGGCTAGGACTTTGATAAGTTGGCGCTCAGACCAGTTCGTCTGACGTCAGGGGGGGGTTCTCAACCAACAACCTGCGAGACATTTTGGCGGCGTCCCTGCGCTTAGCCTGCCTCTCTTTTGCTCCCACAACGAAAAGCGAAAATTTCGTTTGCACTTGCAACAGACGAATCATGTCTCCGAGGTCGGTCGCACCACCACCGGCGCTTGCCGCGGCTGTTCCCCAGCCGTCGACGTCTGTCACAGCTCAAAGCCCTGCTCGCGCAGCTTCTCGATGTCACCTCCCGCCGCTGCGACCGCCTTCATCGCGGCCTCGCTGAGACGACGCCTGCGATCTTGCGCCTCCTTTTCGCGGCGAGCCTTTGTCTTGGAGCTGCCACTGGGGGCAACGCCCGTCATGAGGACCGAGCCGTCGTTGGGCGTGAAGTTCACGAACCCAATCCCACCGCCGCCACCACCACCGCCAAGCAAAATTCCGCCACCGTCGTCGGCAGAAAAGCTACCGCTACCGGCATCCCGCGATCGCCGCTTCTTCACGCCGCTCGGCGTTCCTGGCACGCTGACCACGCGCCCCGAAACGCTCCGCTGCGCCGACGAAGCGGCTGACGCGCCGGAGCTGTGTCGCGACTGGCGCGTGCCTGGGGATGGCGAGGCTGAAGGTGCGCGCTGCTTACGCATCGGGCTTGACGACATGGTGCGGTTGTGGTGGCGCGCGCCGGAAGACGGCGCCCGGGGCGGTCGCACGGAGCGACCATTGTCCGCAGGGATTGGCGGCACCGGGGGAGGCAGATAAGTGTGTGCATTGAGCGCCAGCTCGTTCACGCCGGTGCCCGCGCGCGGCTGCGGCATGTGAATCATTAGCCCATTCTGAGCAGCCGCGGCCATGTGGCCGTCGGCGTGGACGTCGTACGGCAATTCCCCGTGCTGAGAGTGCATCGCCATGTTCGCGTCGATGTTCTTGGCGTCCACGGGTCCGGCTGCGCCTCCCCACCAGAGCTCCTGTTGGCTGCGAGTCGTCGACCACTGCGCGCCGCCATTCTGTTGTTGCTGATGCATTTGGTGCTGCCAGTGCTGAACACTCTGCTGTTGCTGGAGCATCGCGGCCGCGCGTGTGGGCGAGTCCATGGGCGTTCCGATGCCGCCTTGGCTGTAGTACCGCATCTGCTGCTGCTGCTGCTGCTGCTGCTGCTGCTGCTGTGGCGGCGCGTGTGTTGGAGAAATGTCCCCGCCAAATGGGTCGTCAAACTGACCGGCGACGAAGCCGGCGCCGTTGGCCAGGCCGGTATCAATCTGCAAGGGCAACGGGGGGGAATGGGAAAACTGCTGCTGTTGCTGTGACTGTAGAGCAGCGTGCTGCGTGTGTGCGCGATGGGCGCGACGTCCGCGCGGCACGCCCCCGTTGGGCTTAATGGCCATGGGCGGGTTCTCCAGGCTCGGGGAGACAGCGCGCTGTAGGGCCTGGCTAGCCTTGCGCGTCGTCGTCTTGCGCATGGTCGCCTTGCGAAGCGTTGACGACAGGGCCTCGACAAGCTTCTTGCTGCGACGGCCGGTGGTGGTGAGTGCGGTCGTGGTTGTCGCGAGCACGGCAGCGCCCTGATCTGGCGTCGGCGAGGGGACGCGATCTGCCGAGCCCACGCTCTCCTTCTTGGGCGAGTGCAGCGAGATGCCCTCGAGGCGCTCGAGCTCCGTGTCGGAGACGGTCACGGCCGTACTCGTGTACATGGCGGAGGGATCTTGCGCAAACATGGCGAGGGCACTAGGGTCAACTTCGTACCCGGCGGCGGGGTTGGAGCCTGAGGACAAAAAGTCAAAGTCGTCGGCATTGGAGACGCCGGATGAAGCCGTGCTGCTCTCCTGCTGTTGGAGATGATGATTTTGATGGTGCTGGTGCTGCATCGCGTCTTGATACGAGGGCTCACCAGCGCCGGCGGGGCCGTGGCCGGCCTCAAAGTCGAGGAACTGGGCAAAGAGGTCGTGCTGGGTTTCGTCAAGGCCGGCGCTGGGGACGTCGGTGTCGTGCCAGGCAAAGCTGGGGTCCCGGTCGCCGGCATCTACCGGGTAGGACGACGTCCAGAGAGCCATGGCTCCAGGAGGGGGATGTGTAGGGGCAGTGTTGTGATGGATGGGATACGAGGCATGCGACAGCACCGGTTTGTGTCTGCGCGGAGTTGTGGCGAGTCTGTCAGAGATGTGATGGGATTGTATTGCGACAAGGTAGCGAGGGCGAGTGGTTCTTGTTCTTGTGTGGGTGTAAGTACTGATGGGTTGTTGCTGGAGCTCGCCGACGAGTATAAGGCAATGCAGAGAGAGGGAAGCCGAAGCCCTCCCCCGATGATGATGATGGATCAGAGACTGTAAGTGACGAGATCAGGAGATGGCTCCAGTGGGAAGCGGATCTTGCAAAGGAAAGGGTTGAAGTTTGAGGAAGCGGTTGTCAATTGGAGAAAGAGGAGAAGGTGACAGGAAGAGAGAGGGAAGGAGAGAGGCAGCGGACAAATGGTGTATATCGGGTATTTGTGGGGGAGGAAGCCGAAGCAAGATGAGGGAAGAAGGTTGACGGACGGGCAGGACGGGTGGGCGGGCGGTAGCTGGGGCAGCCAGTGATGAGTTTGATGTATGTTGATGCGAGTTCCTGTGGCTCCTCCCCTATTGTCATGGGGAAAAGGAGAAAAGCCTGTTGGAGTTGTGGCATCTGTCTCTCGCTATTGCGGCAGAGCTTGGTTTGTTGGAAATGTAACCTGTCGGGGACCAGACGGACAGAGCGAGAGTTTTTGGTGTGGTAACCTTGGCAACGGCGGGACATTTAATTTCTATGGATTCTAGGATGAGGCGCATTATTTTTCACTTGTTGTGTTTTACTATGTAGTAGAGGTGAGTAGACAATGGAGGAGGGGGGGGGGGGGGGAAGAGGAATGCTATGCGGGATATGGAGATGCATTCCAGCCAGAACGAGGCCTATCGAGCGACTGTGTGTGTGGGCAGGAAAGGGAACAAAAAAAATGGTCGAAAAAAAACTAGGACAAATAGAGAGGGAATCGACAGGTTCTTTGGCAATTTCTCCACCTGAAGAAGACGATATCGCGAGTGACAGACAGTTGACCATTTTTGGGTACGGGACGGGGTTCGCGGGCTGTCTGGGTTTGGTGTGGTGTGGACGGTGACAGATACTCTTAGGGATAGGATACGATAGTACGGATAGAGGGAGCGACTTCTAGTTAGTAGTAGGATAGTAGTAGTTCGCGGTAGATGGGGAAGGGGCTAGACCTTTTGGTGGTGGTGGCGATGGTTGTGTGACGGGTTGATGGGTTGATGATTGGTGGGGGTTCGAAGAAGCTGTCAAAAAAGGTGTAGTGAAGCGTATAAGAAGGCGTAAGGCAAGGGTTAAAAAAGAGATACCAAACTGTATTGGAGAAAGAGGCCCGTTTTAGGGGGGTGTGGGATGAGACGAATAGAGGGGATAGAGAAAGAGAGAGAGAGGTATATGAATCTTAAAGACTGGGGAAGGAGAGGGCGGTTAGAGGCAGTTGGGAGGCAGTTTTAGCAGTTTAAGAGGCAAGTTTGGGAGTCAGCCCGATGGCAGCCGGGTTTGCCGTGTGTGAGTGGCGACGACCAGAAGAGGCCGTTGACACTACTGGGGGATACTACTGGCTGGTCGCAGTGGTGGTTGAGAAGAGAAGGCTCCAGCCAAGATGGCACCATGATGGATGGCAGTCTGTGATCGGGAGGGGGCAGGCAACAACAGGCAATGGAGGCAATGGAGGCAATGGAGGCGGCTCATGATGGATGTTACATTGAAAGGATGGGCGGGCGCTGATACCGATTGGTTGCGGGATGGGGGACGACCGGACAGAAAAAAAAAATCTGCTTGATAATAAGATGACAATAAGATGATAAAAAATGACTGACCATGTAGGGTATCTTGTCACGCACGGAAACAATAAACTACCAAGGATAAAGCCGGGCATGACAGTCCATCTGGTGTCTCTGCTTGGTATGGGCGAGTCTATTAGTTAGTAGGTAGATTAGCTGCATAAGCCGCATCTCGATGCAATGCAAGCTGCGAGGCGCTGCAATGCAATGTACAGATGGCATGTACTCGCTGGCAACCGTCGCCGGCCGAGCCGGACCGTCCAAGCCAGTCAGTATTGACTGCTGTCGATGTACCTCGGGACACTCAACGAACGCCCCTGTCCCCTGTCCTTCCTTTCCTTGTCCCTAGACTTCCTGACTTCCTTGTTTGCTTCTATAATATGATTTGTCCCTTTCACTGCCGTCATCATCACAGACATCGTCCTTTTCCTCCTCCTTCTCCTCCTTCTCCTCCTCCCCAACCTCGTGAGCACAGACTCCCCTGTACCCCATTACCCAACCGACAGTGACGCGATGGACGGACGGCAAGAAAAAAAAAAAAAGCTTAAACCAGTCCAACGAGATGCTTCTGTCACATTTCGGTCCTTGCGACAAGTACAGGGGGGATGGGTCTGCCCGCCGTATTACAGGGCTTTTCTAGTGGCGAGCCAAGCCAATAACGCCCCCGCAAGGCCACCGCAACAACCTGAGCTTCTCTTCGTTTACAAGGCCCTGCTAACTGCTAGGCGGGTCGACCTCCGGAACCCACTGTATTCCAGCCGTACAGCCTCTCGCTCTACTCTTTCTGCAGGTACCACGATCCTCAAGCGTACGATAATTCGGCGATTGACCGCACCTGCCATTCAGCTTGGCTTTCATCACTCGCTTAATCATCACAACCATTCTTTCATGCATCCGTGCACTTCGTTTGTCTATGTAAACGCACAGCCCTGTCAGCTCTCATGCCCAAACTCTCTCATCTGCCCCCATGTTCATCCATAACATCATCGTGCTACCAAAGTATTACACACGACATTTATCAGTCGCCGCCTCACCCCTCACCACTCCTCACCACTCACTCCTCACCCCCTCCAGCCGACAAATACATCTCCACTGTATTCCAGCCGCTCCGCTCGACACCTTTCCTCCCTTTCCTGACAACCCATGGCTTTCCGGTGTATTAATAGCCCTTGCTCTTTTCGATCCAGCCCACCCACCCTCCACGCCACAGTGCCACAGTCGGTAGCTGGGCTGATCCAGTTGCCCCGTACCTGTCGCTGTCGCTGGCTGTCTCTGTCTCTGTCTCTGTTGCTGTCTTGTCTCTCACTCACTTCACTACTTCACACTTCTTCACACATCATCCCACGCTCTCAATTCCGCACCTCCCATCCCATCCATGCATGGTACGCCATACCGCCACCACCACCATGTCGACTAGGTATCAGCCTCTCTGTCTCTCTCCCCTCCTCATTTGCTCCCCCGACCTCCTCCTCCTCCTCCTCCCAACAATGCTGTGGCTTGTGCTGAACCAGCCGTCTCATCTCTTCTTCGGACACGACACGTCCCGGCCTTGTTGTCCCGCTCGCCCGTTGGTATTCCGCACACCACATTGCCAAGTCAACCAACCTTGACCAACCTATTCGGCTGTGTTCCGTGTCTCTCTTCCATCCGTTGTCGTAGCCACAATACCCGAGTTATCGTTATCGCACCAACAGTCCAAGAGTGTGGTATTGGTCCATCTCCATCGACTTGGGGGAGGGGGGTTGCTACCGTAGTCCATCTTCAACAGTTCAAGCCACCTCCTTAACCCGCGCGGTAACCGTACCGTCTTCTTCTCTCATTAATAACCCTCCGTTAGCCGTTTCTTCGCCCCATTCGCCTCCTCGCCCCCTCGCCCTTTCCTCCAGCCGTCCCAGCGATCCCTGCCTCGCCGGCTCTCCCGACTAGATCACTTCGGGCTACCATGAAGAGGGGACTCGGGAAACTCTAATTCCTCCTGCCGCAACATGTCCAGCCGATGGCCGAGAGGGAGGCAAGAGTAGAAAACTCTACCGGGCAGGCAAGCCAAAAGAGAAGATCCCCCACCAATCACATCGCTCTGGAGACCTCCTTCAGCAACGCCTGGGCGGCACAGAAGAGGCTACCGTAGGAGAGAGCCTCGTCCATATCACCACGTTCATAACGAACCTGGCGGGGACCGCCCGGTTCTGGGCCGATTACCAGGACTTGCAAGGAGCCCGTCCGGATATTAGTACGATGGGGGGACTCATATCAGGCTGGCAGCCATCACTGATCAAATCGAGTTCCCCCCCCCCCCCCTCTTCTTTATCGTCCTTTATTCCGTCGGTCCGAGGGTACCTTTACGGCGCTCCCGTCATGTCAGTCATGTCACTTATCCGCCACTGTAAATCATTGACCGAAAAAAGAAAAATTAACAAAAATCAGAAACACATTCATCACAATGAAAAAAAAACCTTAACAGTAGATAATGCGAAAAAAGGAAAAAAAAAAAAAAAAAAAAAAAAAGGAAACAAAAAAAGAACCTGGGCGAGGCTACCATCGCCAAGCCTTGCAGATGCATAAATCTGCATCGCATGCGAAATGCAAGGTCTGAGATTGGCTTGCATTGCGGCCGACACAAAAAAAGAAAAAAAGAAAAACAGAGTAGCCTAATTTACCCACAAAGCCTCGTAACCAACCAATGATTATTGCCGTTGCTCCCTCCGCCCCGGTTTTCTTTCTTTATTTGCCCGTTTTTTTGCCCAATTTCCGCTCACTTCTGGCTGCCTTGCTGCCTCAAACTTCTTCATGCTGGACCAAATCCCTGGGTCCCCCCAAGATCCATCCCGTGCTAAAAAGTTTGCCCCCCCCCGGTCAGCGTCCTAGCGTCCCGTCCGCCTGACAACCAAGATCTCTCTCCTGCAAGGGCACGGTGAGCCCTGCATGCAATTTCGTTTAACAAAGAATTAAATTAATACCGACTGGCTGGTTCGAATAGCCGCCGTAAAATAGGAGTAACTGACGCCAAAGTGGGAGTGGAAATATGATCCATATATTCGTCAAGTGCCATCTTGGTAGTAGTATCCTGCGGCAGTTTCCCAGTCGTCTACCAACTACTGCTATGTACATAGGTAAGCTGGCTGTCAAGCTCGTCTATAAATGCACAAAGAAAAATAAACAAGATGCAAGTTGCATCCGTTGTAATAGGAGTAAATGTCAAGGTCTGGTCGGATCATTACCCAGCCTAATAGAAGAAAACATGAATAGAAGAGAAGAGATGAAAAAAAAAGCCAGACAAGTGAGCACAAGGCAGTGGATATATCCTTCATCGCTTTTCCCTTCCCCGGCTCTGCCATGCCGGTCATTCACTTCGTCCGTTTCTCATCTACGCCAAGAAAAACGCCGTCATGCCGAGAACGAAAATGGACAAAGAGCAAATTTGTAAAAGAAAAAGAAAAAAAAAAGGAAAAAAAAAAAGACAAAAGGGTCAAGATCGGGGTATACAATGCCGCAACTTATGCGCCGCCACTCGTAGAAGCCTCATACGTCCATGTAGATGTAAGCACATATATCGGGCATTGTTCACCCGACGGGTGTGGCCGTCGGTGAGGGCGACGACGATGGGCAGATGGTGCTCTCCGACAGAGTCGTTGAGTGCCGCCGATGGTCCAGCTTCCTGCTCCGTCGTTTGCGCATCCGCGGCACGTTGCGCACCACCTGTGAGCACTGCATGGCCGCCTCCTGCGACCGCCGAAACGTCAGGCTGGACCGCCCGACTCGTCGGTACGACGATGGCGGTACCGCTAGCATCTGCTCCAGCTCTCGGTCATTTTTGAGCCACGATAGATCCTCGTCGTTACCGCACTGTTCGTCCACCTCGAGGATAGGGCACTCGATTACCGTCACTGTTGGCGAGCTGTTGCTCGCGCTGCGCTTCAAGCCGCCGCCGTTGCCGTGTGCGCTGCTGCTCGGTGTACCTAGGTCGTCTCGCGTCTCGGACGGGGGCGGTGGGAAGCTGGAATAGACGGAACTGCTTGCCATGCTGCCCAGGTTCGTCGTCGTCGTGGCCGCCGCTCGAGGGGGAGGAGGAGGCATGCTGGCATCAAGCATTTCCACTTCCACATTGCGCCGTGTCCGCGGTATCGCTATTGGTCGTGTCGTCGTCATCGTGGAGTTCTTTTGCCTGTCGTCTATACTGGCTGGAATTGGTGATGTCGAAATGCGGTTTAAGTCTTCTGCGCTGGCCGCCGCTGCCAACATTTGGTACATTCTCTCGCGTGTCGCAGCGGCAGCAGCGCCTGGCCGATAGAGGCCTGCCGAGCTGCCTTGTCTTCGCAGCGCAGACGCCTGCTCCAACGGGCGGGCCGTTGGCTTCTGTATGCCCGTTCCCCCCGCAGGTTGCTCGCTCCCGGTTCCTGAGTAGAGGATTTGACTGCGGCGACGATGCAGCTCTCCAGTCCTCAATCGCGGAGCGCGAGGCTCGCCACCAGGTATTTGTGCTGGGGCGGGCGGCATCGGTTGCAAGTCGTCGGTGGCCGTGGGGCGAGTAGCAGTTTGTTGGGCATCCATCTTGTTCTGATCATGGTCGCGTTGGGTGTGTGCTGTGCTGTGGTGAGATAGGTCGGGAGGCTGCATGTCCATGCCAGCAGCATCGCCGCCTGGATCAGAGGCCATGATGATCCTCACCCACAGCTGGTGCCCTGTCCACTCTTATCGGCAGCGGGCACGATGATGCATCAAGTTTGAGGCTGTGTAACCCATGAGTGAAGTTGTAGTACGGGGAGAGTCGTCGTGCACAACGTCCAACAGTGGCGTACAGTGTTATCGAAGAGTTGCGCAGGTAGGGTGAATGTGCTGGCGCTGACGAAACAAGTCGTGTTTCTTTTTGTTGGAGAAGTGAAGAAATAGCAAGCGGGAAAATACAATTAAAAGGAAAAAAAAAGTTGAGATCCGAGAGGAGAAACGTGGGAGGCGAGATTCGGGGGCCTTGTCAACCCGGGATAGTGGTTCAGTGGTCGCTGGGCTGCGGAGCGAACAGGGCGGGCACCCACATTCAGTCCACCAAGGGGGCCAGCGACCAGGAGCAGGGGTGCACGGGCAGCCCAGAACCAAGGGCAAGGGTCAGCAGCAAAAAGGCCCCGGAGAAATACAATGGCGAGAGGATCCAGTTATTGTTATTGGAAGGGTGGCTATTGGTGTACGAGCTTTCCTCTTTTCTTTCCACTTGGTTGATGAATCGTGCGTGGACGGACATCGAGGAATGGGGATCGTCGCGTGGCGTGGCGCAGAGCCCGGCCGGTTGGGCCAAGCTGCAGGAGGTACAGTTGAGCTGGTAGGTCGGTAGGTAGTTGGGAGAGTAGGTATCCGTATAGGTAATGAAAGAGGACAAGGCCTAGGAGGTGATGGGCGAGCTTTTTTCTTTTTTCCGGTTTTGTTCGGCGCGGCAGATGATGGCTGTAGGGATCTTCTTGTTTGTGTGCTGGGTGACTGGGTATCCGTTGGTGGGGGAAAAGAGGGGAGAAGAAGCAGACTGGAAGAGGTGCTAGACGCGGAAGAGAAAGACAATACGGAGTACCTGGGTACCTTGTGGACAAGGGTTCGTGAGTTTGGGGGGATGAGGGAAGGAGCCTGTCGATGACGATGACTCGATGGACGCGATGGCATTGCAGCAATTGGATGACAGCCGTTACAAGATAGCCTAGTTTCCAGGATGGAAGGAATCAGCGAGCAAGACTCGGTCATGGCTGAGTTGACGGGCACGTTTGTTGGCAACCGAGCTGGTCAATTTAATGGACGACATCGAGTCTGAGATGAATGGAGGTGTGGGTGGGCGGACGGGGCCGAGTAGCGGGCCAGCGCGCAGCTCTGTACCAGAATTCTGGTACTGGTATCCGTTAGTAATCTGCACTGGTAGGGACTAACATAATAACTGCACTAAATAATTGCAACGGTATAACCAAATTGTCCCTGCCCGACTCCCGGGTGCTTGGTACCACCGCAGCCTCGACTTGCTGTTGCTTAGCTGCCCAGTGCTTTCACTGTTGACTGTCCATCGGCAATTTTAGTAGTGTGGCTTGCAGGAAATCAGGGGTTATAGCTCCCTCATCGGGTGAGGGCGTTCTTTGCATTGTGCTGGTCTCAAGGTTTGAGCCTGACGCGATCAAAATTATGCCCGCATAAAATAGTAAAACGATACGGACATGACACTGATTCCATTCTTCTCTTGTTTGCTTCCGGAAGGCTGTCTTCTCTTGTCACGGCCGTTTTATTCTTTCTTGGTATCCCCTTCTCTGTCACCTCGTGACACCACATTCCGACGGGAGCTTGCAGCAGTCGGATCGTGAACCAGTCACACTTGTTATCCAAGGCTGCAGCAACGCACACATACGAGTCTCTTTTGCAGCCGGCTTTCTTGGTGAACCAAAACGCACAGGCCAGTACCAAAGAGCAATGCAAGAACTCTGCATGTGGCAAGGCACATATATGCTGTAGGTACCTTAGCGACCGGCCTGTGTGCGTAGGTGCATGGCTCCGTATCAACGCTGGTACCGGCTCCGAAATTTTCAATCAAGTGCCATGGTTCAAGTTCAACCGTCACCTCTGCATCTCAGCCCCAACCCATGACCTCGCTATCTACGGAGCGCCGCCGTCCGAGACTCTCCAAATGTCCCCAGCCGATAAACGCCGGGCTCCGCACTCGCCCTCTCGTCATGCTCCTCGCTGCCTCAAGAAACTACAAGATAACTAACACGGCGTACAGTCTATGGAAATATGGAAATCCCCTCACCCTACTTGAATGGGCGGTAGAGGAGGGCAAGTTCGTTGGAACCCATACGTCATGCGCCAAAGAGGGAGAACATTCGAGCGAAGCACTTTGGCGCTTTTTGGCACGCCTCAACAAAAACCATGCACCCTGTAATCAAGACGTCACCGCTCGACGGCCGTGTTGCTTGACAATTGTCCAACATGAATCCAGTGAGCGGCGTCCCGAGAAGACGAGAAATAGCGAGACACGCAACACAAGTCGCCGACCACTTCAAACACATCTGCATCACGGTGCAGATGAGGGGCCACAAGTAGGCCTCCAACAAATAGTTACGCCTCCTCGCCCGCGATCGACAATGTGCACCTGCGGTTTCAAGTTGGCCCGTAGGCGGGCACCAAGCGGCGTGGGTCCATCTTGGCATACCTGGGGATGAATTGAGTTTGACAGACAACGGACAGCGGGCACGACGAGGGAAATTGCCTTGGTGAAACCCTTTCATGATCTACTGTAGCCCGCACTCGCTTAAAAAGATGTGATGGATATAGTGGTGATAAACTACCTAGTCAACCAGCAGGACGGAATATTGCCGCCCGATCATGACGATTTAGACTCCTAGTCCAACTGCCTCAGGCAAATCACCAAAGCCTCGCAGACACTCTCAAGCAGCACCTCCATTTACGGTTACAGGTTCGCCACCTTCTCAGCCCTTCAGACTAGCTTTCCACCATGCCCGGTGCCAAGTAACCCAATAGCACTCCCCGCCAGACGATCAGTTGACGCTGCACAAGATCCCCTCGTCCACTCACTCCCTTCTCCTCTGTAAGCGCCTAACCCCTCAGCAATATTTCTCCACACGGGCGCTAACTCGCAGGCCCTGGGCAGCCAATTGGCCAATCTGTGCCCTGTAAGTCAGGTCAAGCTGGCCCATTGGCTGAAGCTCACCAGTTCAAGCTTCTTGGCGGGGAGGAAGCTTCTCCAAAATGCAACAGAGGCCTGCGTATCTATTGTATTCGTCTGCCCATCTCTAATCTGTTCTCTTCCTCTCTCTTCCCGGATCGACTCTCATTTCCTCTTCTTGTTTCGTTTGACCGCTTGATCATCATCGCTATCGAAATCGTCTGGTTATCACCTCCCTACCCTGTAAAAACCTACTGAGCACAGACAGAGAGCTTTGTACCACGCAGCTGGGAAGCGGGGAATCACGCCGCAAGACGTTCAACAGCTGATATTCGCACTTTGCCCACTCACCTCTTTGTGTTTTTCGTTCTTCCCTCCAGACATTGACAATTTTAGCCCGCGGCTATCCATTCTCATCATGTCTGCGCAACCTCATAGTTTCTACCCTCGTGAGCCATCTTGTCCACTTGCCAAACCCGTTTGCATACGCCTCGTCCCAGCTAACCGCTCACACCACCCAGCTCCTCCCAGTGCCGCTTGTACGTTTGCCCTGATCGGCTACGTCTTCCTCGATCAATAATCCTCTCTAACATTACACACCGAATAGCCTCACAGCAGCAGACACCAGGCCAGCAGCGCATCTACTCGCCGCCTCCCGCCGCTGCATCCCCGGCCCAGCAGCAATACAACCCGCCTCCCACATCACCACCAACGACACAATACGCACCACCACCCACAACCTCACCACCAACACAGCAGCAGTACGCACCACCGCCAACCTCCTCGCCGCCTATCAAGCAGTATCCTGCGCCTCCCTCAGCGACTCCCAGCGGCCAGGCTCAATTTTATCCTCCGCCGCCATCCTCGACCGGTCCCAGCAAGCAATATGCTCCTCCACCACAGCAGACGCCGTCCCCTCACTACCCGCCGCCACCATCCAGCCCTCCCTCGCATGAGCAGCAACAGCAGCAACAGCAGGCGCCGCCTCAATATGCCAACCTCGCCATGAGGCCTGGCGCTGGCCAGCAGTACCATCACTCGCCTCACAACTCCCAGCAGTACGCAGAACCCCCACCTCCCGCCTTCTCCAACCCCAGCGCCGCCTACCCACCTGAAAAGGCCGACGCCCACCTGCTGCGACAGCCTCAGCCTCAGCAGCCACAGTTTGCTGCTCCTCCCACCTATCCGACGCCGGATGCCGCGTATCCCGCCGAGAAGACGGCCGCGGCCACCGCGGCCCCGCAGTACCAGCAGCAGCAGGTTGGCAACCGCCCGGTGAGCCAGCTCTCCAACCAGACGGCCGCGTCGGCCTCCGCATCGGCCGGCCCGTCAGCCTCGGCCTTTGTCGGTGCCGTCGCAACCACCGACGACGTCGGCACCTTCAACGGCGGCAGCTACCGCATCAGCCACCGCGACTGCAACACCATCCTGACCATCCAGCTCGCCATGGGGTGCCCCCTCGGCGCCAAGCCTGGCGCCATGATCGCCATGTCCCCGACCATGACCCTCCGCGGCGAGTTCAAGTTCAGCGTCAAGAAGATGATTGCCGGCGCCGAGCTCGGCCACTCCCACTACATCGGCCCCGGTGAGCTGCTGCTCGCGCCACCCATGCTCGGCGACATCACCACCATCCGCCTCGACGGCACCGCCCAGTGGACTTGTGGCCACGACGCGTACCTCGCGTCCACCCAAGGCGTCCACAAGGACCACAAGCGCCAGGGCCTCGGCAAGGCCATGTTCAGCGGCGAGGGCCTGTTCGTTTACAAGATGAGCGGCACCGGCATCCTCTGGGTCTCCAGCTTTGGCGCCATCATCCGCAAAGATGTGAGTCTAGCCCCCCTCCCCGGGCCACCTTTCCTTGCGCGGTCGACTAACAAAGATCGAATGAATAGCTTGCGGACGGCGAAAAATACATCATCGACAACGGTCACCTGGTAGCCTGGAACACAAAGTACATCTTGGAGCGAGTCGCCTCTGGAGGCATCATCTCCAATCTCGCCTCGGCGGAGGGCCTCGTGTGTAAATTTACGGGTCCAGGCACCGTGTACATGCAAACGCGAAACGGAGTAAGTCTTGTTCACATGATCATCATCTTCACAGTGCTAATTGTATCTACAGCGCGCATTTGCTGCCTTTATGGGCGGGCAATCGTACTCCGGCGTCTAGTCTGCTGGTTACCTTTTGCATGGGCATTTCTTGTCACTTCTATGATTTAGCATATCAATCGGTTTGAGCGCTTTATTGAATACATGTAGTCTCTTTTACTCAACAATTGGTGCCTGGGCAACTGACTACCTGGGTACCTTACATCGTGCTGGCAATTCGTACCTTCCCTGCCTTGTTGTTGTGTCCTCGGCGTCGCACCTTCACCATGCTTTGACTACGCGACAGAGTCCCTAAACGAAGCAAAACAAAGGCTACCATGGGCTGTTTCTTCTCCTGCCTACGCAAGACCCATCTAGTTTCCATCACACAAACATCCTCCACAGCCTGCGTACACTTCTGCCGTTCAGCGATTTCTAGAGTCAAGCTCGATATCATTTCTTGATCCTTTTCGGCGCAGTCCACAGTCTTCTACCTGAATCTATCCCTTCAAGCGAAAGCAGCACAAACGACTGCCCATTAGCGAAAGAAAAACACAGAGCTCTTACTCTCTTCGAGCATCCGCGGCTACACCAAGATCTTAGTCGGCCGGATCCAGTCTCATACAAGACACGACATCAGCTGGTAACCCAATCAAAAACGTCACGGTCTTTACAAGCACTGCAAGGCCAGACACAATGCGTATCCCAAAAACCAAAAGTAGCTCCGCGAAGTCAGTCAGCGGACCAAAGCGCAGCTGCCAGGAACGTACACAGCCTGATGCCACCACTCCAAAGGCCATGAAGGACCCAAACTGGAGAACTCGCCAAGACACAGGATCTTCCACAGACATTGAGAACATTATGCCGCCCATGGAACAGTTCAACAGCAAGCTCTACCCGCCTGTTGCTCAACTTCAAAGCAGCCACACATCCCAGCATGAACGGGGCAGTTTTGATTTTTCAATCATGGACAAATACTCGTCCGAGTCGTCGTCAGCTTCCGAGGGCTTTGTCAAAATCCTCAGAAAGATTGATCTGAGGCCTATAGGCGGTCGACAAATGAGTATTTTCGAGCTCGATGTCCGGCCGGAAACTCCTACCCCTACCATTGCGAGCGATGACCGACGATATGTCAAAGTCGCTCGCCATGTATCGGGTCATCAACGCGACTCCAGCTCAGCTACGGAAATAACTGCATCTTCGCACGACACGGAAAATGTCCACAGTCGTGACTTATTTCAAGTTGTCACTCTCGACAGACTTTGCCGCCAGTCGGCCTCGGCCTCTTCCTCTCACGCCCATTTACACGAATCCCGCAACATCTACGAAAAAGGGAAAAACACCCCCAGCTCATTCGAATCAAATGCCACCATTTCTCGTGACCGACCATCGAAGGATGAGCTACTCCGTTCCCCTCAGACGGCCATCCGTAACAATCGTGATCAAGCCTTCCAAAGACTGATTCAACGTCTGAACCGCGACAATCACTCCAATGGACCCCAATCGTCACAGTCGCCAACCAAAGCACAGGCTAAAAATAAGCAACCCCAGCCTGAACTCATGAACAAGGTGTTTAACAACTTTCGAAGGCCTATGGCGGGCGATGGTCGACGCAACCAGACCATCTCCGACTTCAAGGTGGACTATTGGGGCAACTGCCAGTCAAGCGTGGCAAGCCGTGACGGCTCCGAGAACACAGTACAGGCCTCCAGCAAGCAGAATACGTGGAATCCCAAAGCGAGAGAGTTTTATTCCTTGAATCGACGCCCGATTCCTTGGGACACTGGCGCGACGGACTCACGGGAGAAAGCCTTGCCCAACTTCAACTCATGGCCGCAGTCCAACAGCACCAAAACCAACACGCCGCCGTTCAACCCCTATCTCTACTCCCAAGATCAAGCTACCAGTACTATTCCAAGTTATCCAGTGTATCCGTCAGCAACGCCACTCGCTCCAGCTTTCAACTTGGGACAATGCCCGCAGACTTTTGGCAACACTCCATACCTACCTGGAAACCCAGCTACGCAGCCATCACTCTTTCCTCTTGCACCACTGCCCGGTTTACAATCTCCGGCAATGCCTTTTGGAAACTTGACAGCTCAGCAAATCGCTGCACAGCAGATAGCGGCTCTTCCATACCTTGCCTCACTTGCATCACTTAGTCAGATCCCCCTTCTGACGGGGCTGGAGAAGCCAAACTTGCCAGTCAATAACCGCCGCCCGCCAGTCCCAAAGCCAACTCTACCTAATGCCGGTGCTCAGCTAGCGTATGAAGAATGGATCGAATGGCGAAAGGCCAATGAACCGGGCTATGCCGTTGAGTGCAAGGCCCGACAGCAGCGGAGATCCCAAAGATGCAAAGGGATCATCAAAGAAGGTGGCAGCGATAAGCCTGCAGAGCCGCGTATCGCACAAGCCAATGCGGTCGCTGCTGCATGATCTGTGATATATTGCCAGTCATCAGAGGTGCCTGACCGCATACATGACTGGCACCACAGTCGCACGTGGGAGGCGAGCGAAGGCGCCCGCCCTACTTACTATTTTAGGCAAACCGGATATTTCTCTATTGACTGTTTTCTTATTAATTATTTTACATTTCTCCTGATCGATTTCATTGGGCAGGGGAGAAGAAGGGGGTGAGTGTATCTGATTCCACAGACATTACCAATTGGATTATCAATGTTGCACCCGACGAACATTATATAGTGTTCCTATGGGCTATTTCTTTTACAAGGAAAAAAAAAAAAAAAGTTTTTTCTACATGGTCCCGATCAGCCTCCAGGTGGCAAGACATCCCCTCCTTTTTCTTTTTTTTCCTTTTGTCCTTGGTCAGCCTCGAAGGGGTGGTGAGTAAGAGCCCATCCATGCACACACAAAGCTGGATCCTGCCCACCTCATGCATGTGCCTCGTCGCCCCCTCGTTTTGATCCGACAACAGCATGCTTTGAACCCTTCGGGCAACCCCGGAGTTTGTCCTTAATTCCCGCCTCTCTTCTCCTTCGCCCGGTCCTCTTCTGCCCGCGTCCGCAGCGGGCGGGGGGCTGTTGAGACCCCGTGGAGAAAGCGCCTCAGCTGATACTCCTGGGCGATGACGATTCTGTCTATCTTTTTCGGCCGTTTCCCTAATGCGGAAGCCCGCCTGACGAGGGGCTTGGCGTGGCAGTGTAGACAGACGGGCCTCGTGCGTGACGCATCGTGCCCGAGACAAAATGCGCAAAGTGACAGTATATTGTTTATGGTATAGTAGTAAGCCCTGTTTGAATTGGTGATATCTAGCCTTGTCCATCTGTCGTGAAACATCCAACTATATTTTGAAGCAAGAACAAAAAGAAAAAAGAACACGCGCACAATAAAGCCATCCCATGACATGGTTCTGTATACAAAAAAGATCCACGAGCGGTGGGCAGAAAACAAGGTGTATCATCCCACATTGCTAAAGTAATAGGAAAAAGAAAGGTATAGGACAAAGATGAATAAATCACAAAAGTACTGTTCAAACAACCTGATAAGAACCTGTTTTTACCCCAAGAGTAGAAATGGTGACCTCCCCCAAAAAAGACACGAAACCCGCTTCGCTAAAAAGAACAGATTCATGACGTTGTAGACCCAAATTATAAAAAGTAATATAGCCTCTATTCTTTTCTTTTTGATACCTCTTGCACCCACGCCCGTTAGCGACTCCAGGCAGTGCAGTCCTCGCCCTCGGCGTCCTCGTCATCGCCGTGTCGAGCCATCGAAGCCCGGCGGGCGGAGACGCTGACGCGCGAGCGACCGCCGCTGCGGGAGCTGCCGCCCTCGCCGCGCAGCGGGTTGCAGAGCTTCCACGTGCCGCTCGAGGTCTGACGGGTGACGTTGACGCCGTCGCTGACTGCCCAGTCTGTCAGGGTCCAGTCGGCGGGGCCGCCAAAGGTGACGGGCGGCTCCTCGCCGGCGGCGGCGCGCTCGAGGTGGCAGGCGACGTGCTCCATGCGGTCATCCCAGGCGTTGGGGCCGTGGAACTCGGAGGGGCAACCTGGTGCGGGACACACCATGAAGCGAGGCAGCGCGCAGCGCGTGCGGGCCGCGTTGGCCTGCAGCTCGCGCATGCGGTCCTCAATCTCGGCGGGGATGGGCTTCTTCGAGCTTGCCCCCAGGAGCGGGCTGCCCTCCGGCGCCAGGTGCATGCGGCGGATGTGCTGGGTGTAGAGGTCTTTGCGGTTGAAGATGGAGCCGAAAACGGGAAGGGAGGCGGCGCGGGAGCGGGTCGACGGCCCGCGGGTCTGGCCACAGGTTCCCTCGGTGCAGATCCAGTAGCGGAGGGCGAGGTGCTGCGAGGCAACGTGCCGCTTCCACTCGTTCTTGGAGGCGAATCGAGAAGTACAGCCAGCGTAGTGGAAGACGCAGAGAAGTGGTCTTGTATGCTCAGACTTGATGTGCTTCTGGAGAGTAGGGATGTCGCGGAATGTTAGGTTGCACTCCTTGCATTCGGGAATGGTCTGGTCTGCCAGTGTTCTCATGGAAGGCAGGGTATTAGGGGTGCCAGAGGAGGGAGTCGGGTAAGGCAAGATGGCGTGAGAAGAGTTACAAACGCTGACGGGCGACGGGCGACGCTGCTGCTTCTTCATGTCACGGCTGTGTCTCTTGCGGGGGATTGAGACGGACGAAGCGCGCGTGTTGGTAGTGGCGTCATCGCCGGTGCTGAAGGAGGACGGGCTCGAGTGTCTGGCATCGCTATCAACTGAAGGAACTAGTAGCCCCGGAAAGGCATCGCTGTGTTGGCTGAAGCCGCGAGGCACGGCAGAGCTGGGAATGGCGCTGCTCAGGTCGTGACCATATGGGAGAGGAGCCATGGATACAAAGGCAGGGTATGCGCTGCCAGTGGTGGTGGCGAGCAGGTCTTCTGAAGGGTGCATGGCTGGCTGATTGTCGAAACCGGCGCCGATGTGAGCGATCTGGGAAGCTTGACATGACATGTCCTGCGCAGCGTAGCTGTTATAGTAGGGAGCGACGCTACCGCCGTTCCACGACTGTTGGTAGGCCTTGTCGGCCTCGGACAGCATCGTGGACCACTCCTCAGGTGTACTAGGACCGTGTGAGCCCTCCATTGCAAAGTCGCTTTCAATGGAGTGGCTGATGAGGCTCTGAGTAGGTGAAGAGAGAGGCAGGGTGTATGCGGTGTTGTTTTGTAGTGTCGCAGTCTTGCTATCGTAGGCGAGGGGGTCAAATTGAGAGGCTTTCTCTGTGGTGTTATAGGCAAAGGTGTGTTGCATAGTAGAAGAGTGGCAGCTTGAAGCGTCGCCGGCAAAGTGGGCAGACTCTTCGAGGGCAGCAGGGGAAATGGATCGCAGGTCGTCAAAGGTCAAGGTCTGGTTGACAACAGGCAGAGTAATCTGGAAGGTGTTGTTGGGGGGGCTTTGGGCCAGCATCCTGTCCCGGACGGAGAAGAGGAAATGGGCGGAATATATGCGGGCCAACGACAAGGCAACCGAAGACAGGGAAGTGTGGGTGGGAGGGGAGAGGGGGCCAAAGACGCGAATGCAGGATTCGTTGGTGGGAGAGTGAGTCGAACGGCGGCAGCGTGTCTATTTGGCAGCAGATTGGCGGCTAGCGCAGAATAATGCTTGCAGCGGCACGTATTGCTATCTTCGGAAGAGCTGAGGTGGGCGAGCTGCAAGAGGTTGAGGTTGGTTGACACAAGGTAGCATGCGGAAGAGCCAAGTGTGGGTATATCGACAGTTGGGTATATCGGAGGGTTGAGGTTCGAGAATCTGCAAACTGATTGATGATCGAAAGGAATCTCAGACCAGGCCAGAGGGAAGCGGACCAGAGATATATATTCTGCAAAAGAAGCAGATGCAACGATGCCAAGGGTCCACCGAGACCTCGTCAAGAGGTTGGCGCAGGGGGCACGGGGGCGTGTGAGTCTACATCGTAACTGAGGCGTGTAGGGAAGCTGTTCTTTTTTAGATCGATTCGAGTACCCGTAGCTTTTTCTTTTTCCTTTCTGAATATCCTGCCAGTCAGCGGTCCTTAGCAAGCACCATTCATTACGAGATCGGCCACCAGCTAAGAGCAGCCCAGCCAGCGCCTTCGCCTCGCCTGACCTGCCGACGACCGAGAGGGGGGGTGGGAAGACTTAGCTCGTTCAAGTTGCCTCGTTTATCCTGCAACACGCCCCTCCCTCACGCCCAGTCCATGGTCCCTAAATGGTTGGCAGGGACTTGGGGCCCTCTGATGTCGCCTCCGCTGAACCTCCGCAGCCCTCGCCCAACTAACTAGTTAGCCTCCGTAACTCATTTGGGCAAGGGCCGGACGGTCCACCGTCCTAGGGTCAACCTTGATGTGTGCTGTGGTCCTGTGCAAGGACGCCAAAGTGCGCGGCATGCTTTTCCAAAAGGCACAATGCTAACTCCGGCGTGTTCCATGCGGAAGAGGCGTTGTACGAGGAGGCGTTTCGAGGCGTGTTGGCGGTCGCCAATTTTAGATGGCGCCGCCGTGACGACACTTGCCGTGCTGCTGTCAAAAGAACCTGGAGAACGTATCGGCCGAATACCATTAGTGGCTTGCCTGCGCAAAAAGAGACCACTCTCGGCAGCACCATCACCATCAGCGCAAACGTTTGTTTCGCGCTGGACTGGCGAATCCGTTGCGATTGCCAGAGCCCGCCCCGCAATAGACGATGTGTTGCGCCAGTAGCACGTTGTTCAGAAGCTCAGGGCGCAAGGCGGAGGATGCGTGCAACGGTAAGACGATACTGGCAGTAGGGACAAGGACACTGCCATGTGTACAGAAGGGGCCGCACCCCACAGAGGTCAATAACAAAGCTAATTCCGGGTTGGCTGTCACCTGCACCTCGTTTACAAAACGGGACGAGTGCTGGCAGCGGTTGATCGCTGGATCAGTATGTACTGAAGCAGGTGAGGTGCCCTAGAAATGTACTCGCAGCTCCGTAATCTGTAGGCCGATGTGCATTCAGCCCCAAGAGCCATGCCCCCTCAGGAGGCGATATGATGCGTAGGTCTGCCTAGCTTGTCTTGAGAGGTTGCTTGTGGGTTCAGCAGCTCCAAGGTCTCAAGGTTCAAGTTGGCAGGCAAAGGTTGAAACTTCGAAACTTGTGTACTCTCTCCAGTCAGAAGCAATAGCTAGATCCGATTTTGACCCGGAGCTGGCCAGTTTTGTCAGATTGTACGAAGCTATCATCGCTGAATCGTTCAGCCAGATCCTGTTGGCTAAAATAGTGCATATCCACTGTAACCAATGAGTGTCACAAGTATGGGACTGGTTATGGTGTCCCGGACAGCGTCTTGGTTGTTAAGTCGTCTTCTCTGTAGTTTGCACTGAATGGTAGCAGTGTGATGTGCCATGGTTTGCTAGCAGCGCCTTATCGGTGAGCATTCCGCACTCCCACCCCCTGCGCCCGGTTGATGCCTTAGTTACATAGCTGGGCGGATAATAGGTTGCCCGCTAGCTGTGAGTGACACGACGACTTGTTGCGTAATCAGGGCCGCACCAGCTCGCACGCAAGGTGTTGTCACCTGCCAAGGGCACTGTGAGGTGAGGTGTAGAGTACTCGGGGCTTTGTGTGGAAAGCACACAGTAAATGCGAGCAGAGCGACGGGAAGGCCGGGCTTGGGGGGGAGTTATAGACTGAGACTATGAGGTTTGTGGCTGGGCGATGATCTGTCACTGCACCAAATCTGCCAGGGCCACGCCCCCAAGCAAGCAAGGCCGCAGCCACGCGTTGTCAATGATGGGTTGGTGTTGCCCAGTCCAGAAAGTTTGGGGGCTCGAAAGTGACCGATTTCTTATCCGAGTTTCCCAAAAGACGCCAAAAATCAGGCAGCGCCTTAGCTGGGACGTCGACAGGCACGCAAGCCAGAGTGCATTTTTGGTGCCCTTTCTACAGGGCTGAGAACCACATGGGGGGCGTGTCTGCGGGCCACTCGGGAAAGCATGTAAAACCAGGCTGGCGACTCGTTCAAGATGGCCTGGACTGGGGCATAGCTGATTTTGAATTTGAGGCGAGCCAGACAGAGGGATCAACAAGCTAGTCGTCCAGAGCAAAGCTGACCTAATAAACGATAGGGTGAGCTTTTTTCCGTTTATTCTCCCAAGTTTGGACATGGTGACCGCTGGTAGCGAGCCGGGCTTGGTTCGGGATGTTTCTCGTGCTGCTTGGCAGGGGTAGGTTATCATGAGATGTTGGCGTTCGAGAGGCTCTCTAGTCGATTTCGCCTGATGTGGAATCTGGCGTGGCGATGATGGCTAAGCCTACCCAGACTGGCGGTGACTGCCATTTGCGTCAAGGCGAGAGAGGGTTTGAAGCTTGCCTAGTGTGATGCCCAATGACGCTGCGAAAGTGGCATGGGAGTCTCAGTACTATCAGTCTGCGATTTGCGCATGGCCTGGGCGGTGCATGGGCAGATGTCTAAGTTGACACTGACCTGTGCACCACACAGGGCAAGATTGTCCTGGTTTCGCTGTGGCACCGCCTGCATGCATGTCGCATCTCACCGAGTCAGCCAGGTGCGCGCAGGAAATAACTTGAGCGACGGAAGCGTCGAAGTGATTTCCAGAAAGCCGAGCTAAACGAACAAGCGAGCAAGGGAGAAGCTCAGCTATGACTCTAGGATGTCCGGTGATGTTGCATCATGCGGTCAGCCGTTTGCCTTGGGTTGCATGCAGGGCATCCAAGTACATTGTCGCAGTTTCTGGCAAGATGACTCTAATGCACTAGCAGTCGTTTGCTGGCCCTGTCTCGTGTCGGGAATGACTATCGTTTTAGAGTAGACCGACGGACATGGTTTATCCGTTTGCTGCATTTTCCTGTGTCTTGAACGAGTTTGTGATGGCGCCGCGGGGGCAGCGGCGGGACAGATGCATAGGCAAGTAGACGCCTTGGATTGGCTATGGCGGCCCCAGGCTAGTGAGCGGCGGGCAGGGGGGCTATGGTCAAGGAAGCGCGAAGCTACAAACGAATACGTATCCGTATGTAAATGAAGGATTTGGCGATGGATGTGGATGGATGGTTTGCTGGATTGCTTTGGCGCAAGGGAGGGGCGTGGCTGTGCTGTGGACGGCCAGTAAAAAGCCCAATGTAGCGCCTGGGGCTACTGGCTCAAACGAGAAGGCCCGCTACAAGGTTACTTTATCACCAATGTGATGGAGAGGAAAAACAGTTAGCATGCTTCCTTGTTGCTGATGGCCAATGAAGAAGAGCTTTTAACGAAGATTGATGGGCCTTGGATGGTGGACAGGGAAATCAGCCTGCCCACATTGTTGATGTGTTCGTCGCCTAACTTGTATGTATGTATGTATGTATGTATGTACACACTACATACAAGCAGCCGTCGTTACTTCGCGCAGTGGCAATAATGCAGGCAACCAGGCGAGTTGCAGAGATCAGCCTGTGCTCACAAATAAATGTCCTGCTTGTGTCTTGTACCAGCACCGCGGACTGGTTTCCAAGTTGTCACCACCCGAGTATCATAGGGTGCCTCACAACATCTGGGCCATGCTAACCCACCATGACAGCGAAGAGAAGACGGGGCGTGAGAGATGGCCTCTGCGGGATCATCCAGTCGCAGGATGAAGCGCCCTGCACCACACACACGCAAGAAAATAAGACGCGCCTCGACCGGACGAGGCATCCTTCATCCTCGGTCAACCGCATCCAGCACCAGAGTGTTGCATGTCTGCTATGTCGAGATGCCGCTATTTTTCGTCTAAAATGGGACCAAATCGTCCCGTCTATCATGCCTTGTCGCGTCGCACAACATACAACATCCTTCGTCTCTCCCGTCACCCGCAGCCTTTCCCGCGTCTTTGTCTCCCGTTTGCGGGCGTGATCGATTTGCAGATTCACAAGAATAGCAGAGCAGCAGCACGCCCCCCTCCCTCTCCCCGCGCGGATGGCAGGGGTAGTCAAAAGTGAGGGGGCCAAGGTAACCCCCCCCTCCCGCAAAGGTAGGTCGGGGGGGCTCTCAGTAACACGGCGGCCAACTAACTCTACTTTGGAAATGGCCGCGGCCATATCCCCCTCTCCGTGATTACAAAGAATCTCAAGTCTGCTATGCTTCCGATATTGACTGCAGCCATCATCTATCTCCCTCTGCTCTCAGTCGGCTTTGGCCCCGCTACGAATCTCGAATCCCCCAGGTCTCGAACTGTTGCTGTCCTCGCACAACTAACGTACATAGTAGGCGCAGCAATGCGGCCGGCCACTTTGTGACTCAACAGCCATCGCCAAAGCTCAAGGCCCCCAAATCCGATAAAAATAGTACAGGCCGGTTCCCTACTGAGGTCGCTGCACATGTGGTCTCAGGTAGCTTGGCCCAACCACACAACGCCCTTCCGAAATGACGACATGACGGTGTAAGCATATCCCGGGTTCTGAATAGCTTGTTGTTTTAGGTTTCGGTACGGA